GAGCATCTGAGTTAAAATATTGTAAGTTAAAATACCAAGGTGGTAATGTCTGTTAATCACATTTTAATTTTTAGGCGTTTTGCTCAGTTACAAGAAAGAAAATTAATTGGAATTGTTACCTTTTCTAAACAAATTCTGCTTTGTACAGAGCAATAGAGATCTGTAGAACTATTAAAATTTTGTGGGTAACTCATTATGTTTAAAAATACTCATTTTTAACTCATTTTTTCACTTTTCTTTTTTTAAAAATAATTTTGTATTTATAATATATTATTTGTATTTTTTAATGCAAAGAATGCAGGGATAATTTACTATTTTGCACTGCCCTTTTAATCTGAGGAGCACAGCACAATTTGGGGATAGAGCTTAATTTTGTTGATTTATACTTAGCTAATTGTGGTATTTTATTACACAAACAATAGCTAAAAATTTTTATCTTTTGTAATTGATTGATTGATTGATTGATTGAGGCAAAGTCTCACTGTCTTGCCCAGGTTGGAATGCAGTGGCGCAATATCGGCTCACTACAACCTCTGCCTCCCAGGTTTAAGCGATTCCTGTGCCTCAACCTCCCAAGTATCTGGGATTACATGTGTGTGCCACCACACGCGACTAATTTTTGTAGTTTTAGTAGAGAGGGGGGTTTCACCATGTTGGCTAGGCTGGTCTCGAACTCCGGACCTCAGGTGATCCACCCACTTTGGCCTCCCAAAGTGCTGGGATTACAGGAGTGATGTTTCTTGTTAAACATCATTTGCATATGTAACTGGCCAATCTTTTACAATTTAAAAGTAGCTCATCCTTATTTAAGTTAGAAAATATCTTGGCTTTTTTTTCCCCCCCTAAAAGATTGTTTTACTTCAGTGCAGCTCATTAAGAATATACCAAGTTAAAAGCAGAATATACCTCCACAGAATGGTTAAATGAATACAAAGATAGAAACTACAAAGTACTTACATTTTACTCCTTCAGGAAGACAACATAGAAAGAAACCTTTTCCTGAAAAGAGACTGCTAATAATACACGTTAATAAAACCAAATTTTTTGTTTAAAGTTAGGCTTTATTTAAAAATAATTTTAAATATATTTTTTCAATCTTTATAAATAATACATAAGTCAATTTTTGTAAAAGTTGAAATAGTAGAGATAACTCTAAAATTCCTCTTGGCTACTATTTTGGCTGTTTTTCCCTCCAAGGTGAACCACTGTTGCTTGCTGGGTATCTGTTGCTTGTCTGCACATGGGCATGTGCAAACATGTCTGTTTGTATTATAGAGATAACTTTTTAAATAGCTATATGGTATCCTGCTGTATGTATTCTGTAATCTGTGTGTCTTACTTGGCATTTTATTTTGAAATTATTTTATTTGTTTGTTTATTTATTTATTTATTTTTTGAGACAGAGTCTCGCTCTGTCACCCAGGCTGGAGTGCAGTGGTGCAATCTCGGCTCACTGCAAGCTCTGCCTCCTGGGTTCACGCCATTCTCCTGCCTCAGCCTCCCCAGCAGCTGGGACTATAGGTGCATGCCGCCACACCCAGCTAATTTTTTGTATTTTTAATAGACATGGGGTTTCACCATAGCCAGGATGGTCTCGATCTCCTGACCTTGTGATTCGCCCGCCTCAGCCTCCCAAAGTGCTGGGATTATAGGAGTGAGCCACCGTGCCCGGCCGTTTTAGAGTTATTTTCATGTCTGTACATATCGTTCTCTTTCATTATACCTAATTTTAATAGTCTTTTACAAACAATGTGTGCTTATTAGAACAAGTGAAATAGATCAAATCCACCAACTCCACTTCACCCCCAGTTCACTCTCAATTCTCACTCTTCTTGAATTAAGCCATTCTCCAGACTCATACTGACATTTGGTATCATATATAGGGTTTGGGTTTTTCTTTTAAAAATTAAGAGATCAGGTTTTGAATTATTACTCAGCTAAATTATTTCAGTTGAACAATACAAGGTGAACATCCAGTTTATTCTTTTGATTAAAAACTTTCCATATTATGGAAACACCTTGTTTCTAGGTGTTTGCCTGCGAAAACATGGCAGTAAGCACCTTCGTACCTGATTTCATGTACTGTGCTGGTGCTGGTGCATTTCATTTCTAAAGTCTTCAAAGAGTGTGTGTGTGTCGTTTAAACATTTTAATGGATAGTACCAGATTACTGATATAGATGTGTTTCAAATGTAAGTCTTTATAATATCTTTTACTATGCAAGTAAAAATTTTTAATCTTGTCAGATATTACTGGGACTTTATAATTATGTCAGATGCATTTATGGCTTCCAAATTTCTATCTTACTTGTGAAGACTTCCCCCAGTCTAAAGTTTTGGAATGTTTAATGCTCTTGTTACTGGTGTTATTTTTTCCTTTTCATTTCCATCTGATCGTTGACGATATTGACAGAAGTTTTTTTTTAATGTAATTAAAATTATCTTAATTCAGAAAATTTTTTGTAGTCTTTAATATTCATTAAGGTTTTTGGGTTTTTTTTTCCCAATATTTTGGGACCATTAGCTCATGATTATATTACCTGGGTCTTCAAAATCAGAGTGAATAACAGTAGTGTTCACAGGTATCACTGTCCTGTCACTGATTTTGGTGTAAGTAGTGTAAATACATTCAGCATTTCACTGTTTGATAGG